TAAGTCATTTGCAGAATAATCTAAGTGTAAATAAAAAATTCATTTAGGAAAGCATGAAGTTACCCGGTTCAGCGCTTGTTGCGCTTCGTTGAAAAGGCAGGGTGCATCCACCTCATTCATCTTAGCTTGATCATCCTCGGTCACCAGGCATCTAGGATAGCTGGCCACTCCTACGGGGGCGGAAAGAAATCGGGCATCCTCCGGAAGGGAAAAAATAATGGTGCATTTTCCGATCAGGATATGCACTCGGAGCAGGAAATCGATCAACCAATTTCGGGCTCGAGGAAGGCCCCTTGATTGAGAGGGTGAGATCTTCCTCGGTATCTCTAAATCGACAAATCCAATGGCATCCTCTGTGGCCATCGAAACCACACCGTCGAAAAAATCACGGAAGGGGCTGTTCGATCTATGGGCCCCCTCGATGGGGCATTCTTTTGCAACTTGGGCCTCGTTAAACATCGACTCTATGAACGAGGGCGACTCGGTAATCTCTATCGGGATGAGTGCTTTCTTCGGGGCCTTGCCCGCATCTCAGGAAGCCTCGGTTCCTACCTCCACCTCGACCTCCCCGACATGCTGAAATCGGCCTCGCCTCCCCCTGGTTTGTAGGCCCCTTGCCCTTCGAGTTGTGGCAGCATACTGGCCACCATATCAAAGGCTTCTCCTTCCCCCTCGGACTCATCCCTCAATCGATAGAGTGAGTATGGGGACAGTGCTCGACCATTGGTGCTTCCCTTGGGTTTACGTGCCAATATTTTCCTTGGCCTCTTCTTCTTAGGGCCCGGAGAACTCGGAGCCTTTTTCCTTTTCTTCTCTTTATCCTGCCCCAAAGAAGAGGGCTCAGTGAAGATATCATCATCACCGGATGGAGGCCTTATCTCGACATCTTTTGGTAAACTTGCAAAAACGAAGTAAAAGCAAGTCAGAAATCGATAGCGCGAAAGGGAAATCAAAGTCACTTGAGAAACTCTTACCATGGGAACGAGCTTCCCATCGGCCCTTTGAGAGCTCGCGCCACGAACGCTCGTAATAAAGCCTTTGTTTTACAATGCCCTCGACCTATTCCTTGAGTCGAGGAACCGCATCCGGCATTCGAGCAACAGCTGCACTACCACAAAATATAGATGAGAAGGGAGGAAAAGAAAAGTGCAACGAACGAAATCTTAAAAGCGAGATTATACTTATGTTTCATATTCCACTTCTTAGGAAATGGCGTATGCTCAGCTGGGATCAAATCCGAGGTCTTCACTCGGACAAAACAACCTAACCAGCCTCGGTCCCGATCTTCATTGATGCTGGAAAACGGAGCCTTACTGGCCCGACGGGCCAGCTTAATCAGTCCACCTCGATAAAGTCAAGGGCTATACAAACATATGAGATGATCGATGGTGAAGGGACACCCCTCGATCTTGCTCACGAAGAAGCGGAAGAGAATTACTGTCCTCCAGAATGAAGGATGAATTTGACTGAGGGTCACCTCGTACCTCTTACAGAAGGCAATGATGACCGGATCTAAGGGGTCCTCGGGAGTGGGGATCACTACGTGGGTAGTAAACACTTAAAAAAATCCTCCACGTGGGTAGTAATCGCTTCCTCGAGCGTAGGGATCACTACGTGCTTATCAGCCCAGTTGCACCTTGACCTTGGCAAGGACACTATCGGTGATCGAGCATATATATCTCGAGACTAGCTCACACCGGCCTGGTACCGAGGAGGTTTTCTCGACCTTGAAATCAGCTCCGGTTGGGCACCCCGTTGGGACAAATATTTGCAGAGGAGGTTTCGGTGTCGGTTCCTCGGCAGCGGCATACGAAATATTTTTCTCAACAACCGGTCGCGAAGCAGAGGGAGTTTCTTTTTGGGTAACAGATTTTGAAGTCTTCACCATTTCTGAAAAAAAGGAAGAGAATTAAAGGAAAAAAGGTTTCAGTGAAATACAATGGATGATTGGCAAATGAGGAACTCTTATGAAAAATCTCAGAAAGCCAGAATAAGAGAGCTTAGAAGTGTTAAAATCTCTTAGATACGAGGGTAGAAGGATTGAATGTAAAGTTTGAATGAACAAAGGAAGAAGTATTTATAGTTTTCCAAGCGACGGTTCGCATCTGGGAATGGCCGACCAGCGACTGACAAGCATTTAATGCCTTAAAAACTTGCCCGACTGGACGTTTCAACTATTCTTGTCGCTTACGTCATGTTTTTGTCGCTTACGTCATGATTTATCGAAGTGATAGTTGGGAGCTCATATTGTTTCTCATCATTTACCCTACGAAAAATGAGGGGACTTTACGTCATGATTTTCGCCGCTTACGTCATAATATATCGAAGTAAGAATCGGGAGCTCATATCGTTTCTCGTCATTTACTCTCCGAAAAATGAGGGGACTATCTGTATATGGGTAAAATCAAACTCGAGATTTGACCGAGCATCCAGCATGACAATTTGGGATCGAGAGATGGCGATAAAATCCCGGAGATCAGTTTCTGCCTTACCAAATTAGACATCGGAACCACCAGACGTGCCTTCGAGTTTATCGAGGTCATAATCGGTCCCGGTCATAACGGTCTCAAAGAATATATTGCCAGCTTATCCGACAGGGGTCCGAAATTTCCACAACTAACTGGGCATTACGACGAAAATCACGGAACATACCAAAAAAGAGACCAACGGTCAACAAACCAAGGACTTTTTTTTTTTTTTTTTTTTTTTTTTTTTCCTTTT